AAAAAAAATTCCTATCAGACTTTTTTTCTTGGCTGAGAAAAACCCCTAATATTGAAAAAACACCTCGCACAAACAAGCACATATTTACGTAGACATTCTGCAATCAGAGACGAGAGCGGTCAACAACGCTTCTAGATGCTCTCGAGGTCACTGTAATCAGTCAGTGTCCTCCGGTGAGATCCATAAACATTCTTGAGGTATGTCGAGGAATGGCCAAGGATCACCTCTATAAGAATCCAGAGTCCTGAAATGATGACACAAAGTTTATTCAGCTGGTTCAACTGGTTATCAGTTGGAAATTCCTCAGGAAGAGGGTGGTGAGCATCAGATCACATTTTCTCCAGGCGACTTTAGATAAGATGACCTTGAAGGACAGCCAAGGCAACCAAAATTTAGATAAACACACAGTTGTTTTGGGAACAGGCAGAACTTAATGACATCAACCTTCAGTCTGTGTCGGTCTACTCAGTTCCGAAATGTCCAAATTACATGGCCACACCGATGGAACGTGTCTGAGTAAAATCCCCAAGATCTGATCCATTCAGCCCAAAGCATTTGAGTCCGGGTACTCCAGACATGAACCAAGCCATCATAAAGGCAAGCAGTGTGATCGGGTCCAAATTTGCTGCCAACGACTTCCTTGATTGTAGATAAAACCAGCACCAGCTGAATCCAAAAAGCAGGAACCAGTTAACGACAATCCAATTAAATATGCGTCCTTAAAATCCACAGAAGGCAGCAGAGATGGACACATCATCAAGTTTTCCAGTCAATGAGATATCCATATATATGTAAAATGTAAATATATCCCCTGAAAATCTGACCTTGCAAGTATAAATACCAGTTAAAACTCTCCTGCCGTCGAGTGTGGTGCTTTTGGTTAAACGTTAGTGAGAGATTTTCTCCAACAACATTTTTTCAGTCAGGTCATCTGGACAGTTTCTTTTTTTTTTTTTGTGCTGAAATCATCTTAGCATCAACAAAACTGTTTTTTTTTTCCCACTTTGGAGTAATCTGTTGGGGGAAGAATCAGTTTTATGTTGCGTGTTTGCTTGATTGATGAAGCCTTCCGGATCGAAGGCGAAACATTTCAGCACAAAAAAATAAATAAAAAAATAAACTGTCCAGATGACCTGTCTGAAAAATGTTGGATTGTATACCTGGATTATTATGGACTTTGTTGTTTTCTCCAACAGTTTTATATCCTATTTAAGTCCTTTGGCTTCTCGTACAGCTCGTTATTCTTTGTAGCTGTTTTGTATCCTCTTGTGGTTGTCTCAGATATGTCATTTGAAATGTTCAGCATTTTTAAGTTTATGCCTTTCTTTAGATCTCCATGTTTGTTTGGCATCTTTTAAAATGCGTGCCTCTGAAATGGTCTGTTTTGAAGTAGTTTGGTTTTTCTAATGTTCATTCTGCGTCTCTTTGTTGTTGTCTTTAAAACAAACACATGCCTTTGTAATAAGCATCATAAAAATATTGCTATGTTTTGGCATCAAAGGCAAAGTCCTGCAGATAAAATCAGACACGGCCTAATTACATTATAATCCCTTGCAGGATCGTTAATGAGAAATGATCAACCATGCTCATTAAAGGAAGCTGAATTATCGTGTTTTGAAAAAGCGAAATACGAATTAGAAAAGAAACAATGTCTCAGTTCCTCTACTTCTTGCTGTTCGTTGGTCAGAATTAGCTGGAAAATCGAAAAATAGTTACAGAATCAGAGCTTTGGGTTTCTTTTTGCAGGCTTTGGCTCCACTCGGGATCGGAGTGGCTACAGGGGAGCAGGTCGGACCTCATTTGTTCTTCTCATAAAGTTCTAGACATGCTGGGTTTGTTTTGTTGGTTGTATTGTCGTGTTGTCTGCAGTGTCACAACAGGGTGATGTTCAAGCAGCTCCTCCAGGCTTCAGCTCTTCAGTTTGTTCAGATCGACAGCTGTCGGCTCGGGAGCGTCAACGAGAACCTGGCTGTGCTGCTGATGGCTCACAAGTTCAAAGGCACGGTTTTTTTTACACCTTATATGTGACTACACACACATGATCCACTTGCACATCAGTCACTTTGAAGCTTCCCTGTGTAAAGTTTCTAATTGCTGTCCTTATTGTTTTTAATGTCTTTAGGATGCATATTTAGATATTTGTCTTTTTTTCAGTTCCCGTGTGTCCTCATGCCGGAGGAGTGGGTCTGTGTGAGCTCGTCCAGCATCTCGTTCTGTTCGACTACATCTGCGTGTCGGCCAGTCTCAGCAACCGGTAAAAGCAAGGGTCGTTTTCTTTGAATCACCATGAACATTTATTTAACTCATATAACACTCTTCAATGTTTTACAGAATGTGTGAGTATGTGGACCATCTCCATGAGCACTTCACCAGTCCTGTGGTGATACAAAACGCCTGCTACATGCCTCCGAAGGTAAATCATTAAAAAAAAAAAAAAAAATCTACATTGTTCAAAATAAGCTCATTTTTTTCTACAAGTGCATAATTCAAATTCAAGTTTATTGTCATTCGCATCACATGTGGTACATGAGGTGGAATGAAATTGTGCATTCAGTTACACCCAAAAATAGCAAAAATATAAAGTATAAAAAGAAACAGTATACAAGGAGCTAAGATATACTCTAAACACGAATAATGTAAAACAATGCGGCGTATCAACAGCAGCCCGAACATGAGTCCGTGGTGAGCAGATGGGTATGAATGAATACAGTAGCATGAGATAATCAGCAGCATGAGATCAGCAGCATGGATAATCAGCAACATAGACAAGTCAATAATAATAATAATGCTTCCTGATTTTAGGATCCCGGTTATTCTTGCGAGATGCTAGAGTCATCAGTGAAGAAACATCAATACCCTGAAGGAGACGTTTGGAAAGTGTCGGTTTCAGAAGAGACCTGTTGAAGAGAAGTTGGACTGGAAGAAACGATTAGACCGAAATGAAGAATCACCATGGCTTTGTGTGTTTAAACTGTATCTTTTCCTTTTTCATAACCAGAAAAAGGAGGTGTCTGTAACTTTATTTTTATATGGCATGATGAAACTCTAGTTGGTCCTTTATTTGAGACATGAAGAGTATGTTTTATCCTATTCTTGATGAGAAACTGACCTTTGACCCCCATGTGAACTCACTTTGCAAGAAGGCCCACCAGAGAATGTATTTTTATCGGAAGCTCTGTGGTTTTAATGTTGATTCTTTTTACGAGAATGTTTTATTGAGTCTCTTTTACCTTCATCTGTTGGTTTGGATTGCTAACAAGCAAAAACAGAAACAAGGATGTGCAGCAGAACTGCTGGCGTAGCCCTGCAGTGAACATGACCAGGCTGATTCTGGCAGATCCTGATCATCCACTGCACGGGGAGTTCAGGTTGCTTCCTTCTGGATGTAGGTACCTGCTGCCCAGATGTAGAACGAACAGACTGAAAAACTCATTCATCCCTGTAGTGAACAATGATGATCTCTGTACTGTTATTTTAATGTCTCATTGTCTAGTGTGGATGTTTTGTGTGACTGACTGAAACAAATTGCCCCTTGGGGATAATAAAGATTCTTGAACTGTGCATAATTATGACAGATTATAAAAAGCTAATGCACAAGAGCTGGGCTTTTTCTGGGGACTATTGTGAGGTTCTTGGGGCTTTTGATGGTAGATTACCTTCTGTTGCCCAGGGCGACGAGACGGTTTCGAGGACCAGCATTTATCCTAGTTAGGTTTCTTCTTCGTCTTTTAATTCTTAGTAGGAGAAAAGTAGAGAGAGTAGTACTGTGAGGATGTAGTTATAGACCGAGTTATACTTTTTAATTTGATATAACCTAGACTGAATGTAAGTTTTAAGTGCACAACACATCTTTTTATATCTTTCACTTTTAATAAAATCTTTGCCTGTGAGCACAAAACTGAAACAGCAGCTCCTGGGTGATTCCAAGTTCTAGTGAGTTACTTTTAACATTTGCCTTCTGGGTCCTTTATTCGATACCATATAGGGCTAGTCCTAAAGTGTGACACCCCCACCTATCTATTGCTAAAAGCCCCCCAAAAGCGGGTGCAGCTGTGCACCCTGTGTCGTCTGCTTCATCAGGAAGGATCAGAGACACGAGGGTTGTCTGGGTGTTCCTCTGGCTAATCGACAAGTGGACAGCATCCTGACCCCTTCCCACTGAGGCAGAGCAGTTTAAAATCCTTTTTATCACGAGGGCCGCACACTGACTCTGGTCTGAGTCAAGTAGGTGGAAGTGGACTTTGGCCCTCCCAGAACTGGCTAGATCAACGACAGGAGAAATTACTGGTTGAGTTTTGATCAACAGTCGGCATGGGTCAAAAGGGTCAGAGGTCATGGCTTTCTAACAATATTAAAGATTACTTTTTGTACTTACAGATTTAGATAATTTATTCATTAATATACAAAACAACGCACACATTTAAAATGCCTGAAGAAAAAACAAACATGTTTTTCATGACGGAAGAAAACATTTTCTGCCACATCTTTACCCAAAACACACACAGTTAGTCTCTCCCTGTAACTCAGAGAAACTGACGTTTAAACTTTCATACAGTACAACAAATCGAACGTTCTCATCATATGATTTGGGGTTTCACACCGCCATCTGCATCTTGATGGAGGGGTGTGGGTTGTAATCACAGATCTCAAAGTCCTCTGCTTGGAAGGCGTCGATGGTTTCCACTTGTCTCCTGATCTTCAGCGTAGGGAAAGCCCGAGTCTCCCTCTGAAGCTGCACATTTACACACATGAGTTTCAAATCAAGCAGAACAAAGAAAGAACTTGAACGTTGCTTTTAAATTATCCCACCTGCACTTTAAGAGGTTCAATGTGGTTGATGTAGACGTGCGCGTCTCCTAAAGTGTGAACAAAGTCACCAGGCTAAAAAAATTAAAAACATAAGTGTTAAGAGATGGACAATATGTTGATGGACAAAACAGACGTGAAAGAGCCTCGACTCCTGCCTTGAGTCCCGTGATGTGTGCGATCATGTAGGTGAGAAGAGCATAGCTGGCGACGTTGAAAGGCACCCCCAGACCCATATCAGCCGAGCGCTGGTACAGCTGACATGACAGCTCGCCGTCACAGACGTAGAACTGACAGAGAGCGTGGCAGGGGGGCAGAGCCATGAGGGGGAGGTCTGAAACAACAACGTTTAAAATAAAGTCATTTTACTGGAGAAATTGCATTTCCTGAGAAAATGCAGTGTGAATGCTTATTTCTGAAGACTGAAAAAACACCTGGAATTAGCTAAAAACATGCTGAAATGTAGCCAAATAGGAAGAACAAGCTAACTTATCAGAAGAAAGCAGAAAAAAACATGTATTTGCTGAATTACCGTAGGTTTAAATGAGCAAAATTAGCATATAATGAGGAAAACAGCTAAAAAAGCTGAATTTATCAACAAATAGCTGAAAAGGCAGAAATATGCCTAAACTGCTAAAAGGAAGTGAGGAGCTGAAATGAGAATAAAAATGTGGAATTACCTGTAAAGCTAAATTCAGCAAAAACATAGCTAAATAGTAGCTGAAATAGCAGAAAAAGCTGAAACTAGCCAAAAAAAAAAAAAAAGTGGAAAGGAACTGAAATTAGCAGAAAGATGTTAAAATAGGCTGAAAGCAGCAGAAATTACCACCAAAAACTTGAATTAATCAGAAAACAGCTGAAATTAGCTAAAAAATGCTAAAAGTGTAGTTGAAGAGGTAGAACAAGCTTAAATTAGCAGAAAGTAGACATAACATGTTTGTCCAATTAGGCTGAAAGAAGAAGAAATGATGATAAAAATGTGGAAATTATCTGAAAAAAGCTGAAATTAGCAACAAAAAAAAAACAGCTGAAAAGTACTGGTAGCTAAAAAAACAGAAAGAAGCTTAAGTTACCAGAAGGAAGTGGAGAAATCACATTTTTTCTGAATTAGGTTGAAAAAGTTTAAATTAGTGCAAAAAATGTGGCATTAGCTGAAAAAGCTTAAACTAGCTGAAAAACAGCCATATAGCAGCTGAAATAGAAAAAGCTGAAACTTGCCAAATAAGCTGAAATTATCAGAAATAAGTTAGAAGAAGCACAAAAATGTAGTAGTTAGAACGAATCTGAAAGGAGCACAAAACAGCTGAAATTAGCTGGAAGTAGCTGAAAAAAGTTTAAATCAATGAAACTGAAAGAAGTTGAACCAGAGCAAAATGTGAAAAGGAGCAGCAAAAGGCTGTAAACAGATCTAAAGATATGAAGGATGTAAAATGAGCTCAATTCATTTTCTATGAGAAAAAAATGGCAGAAAAGGCTAAATATTTCAAAAAGCTAAAGTTGCACCAATACCTAAAGTCACCCTTCTCCTGAACGAGCTGAACATTTTGTTATATGATTTGTTGAAATTGCACAAACACTGTGGAGCAAGAAAGATGCCGAAAAACGTACGGAAGAAAAATGGATCACAATAGTGTGAATGCTCCAAAAACATTTGAGGAAAAGTTAAGCTCGACCAACCTTTGGGGTTCCAGGCGCACATGATGATCCTCCGGTCCTCTGGGTTTTTCTTGATGGTGTCGATAACATTCTGCAGCTGGTCCACACCCTGTCCTGTGTAATCTGATGGAAGAACAAAAGGCTAATAGCAATCTAGCACAATGGAAGTAATCAGCTGGGGGAGAGGGTGGACACCAGAAACCATCTGAGCACCATCAAACTGGTTGGCCCACTATGTGAAGGTGCTGTTTATAAGACTGAGTTTGTTGTAGCTCCTCGGACTGATGAAGTCTTTTGGATAAAAGATGAAACGTTTCAACAAAAAGAAACCGCCCAGTGGACCTGACTTAACTTTGTTGGAGTCTATCAGTCACCTAAATGGTGTCTTAAGCTCATTCATCATAGATCCTGGAAGTTCTCCTTCACCAACGTTTCTAATTATTGGCGCATTTTGAAAAAGTTTAAAAACTAAAGGCAGCATGTTTTTTGTCAAGTAAATATAGAAAGTTATGAACAGGACAGTTTACAGCACCTGTATGCATGTCTTTGTACTCAGCACCGAAGTGTCTCCACTGAAACCCATAAACGGGTCCCAGGTCCCCCTCCTCTCGGTCCGTGAAGCCCAGGTGGTCCAGGAAGGCTCGGGACCCGTTGGCATCCCAGATCCTCACGCCTTTCTCTGACAGCTCCTTGGCATTTGTTGATCCCTGCGACACACGACAAACAAACGTCAGACTCCATAATGTGTGCAACCCTGCTGTGTGACAGGGAAGATGCTACCTTGATGAACCACAGCAGTTCTTCAAGGATCCCTTTCCAGAAGACTCTCTTGGTCGTCAGCAAGGGGAACTGGTCTGCAAACAGATTGAGTGATGCAGATATAAATACACAAAGCACAGCAGCTGTTTGTGCAGAAGTGCATTAAAGCACTAATGGGGTCTTTAAAAGAAGTATAACAATGTCATACATTTAAAAAGTATTAACAGCAGACACTAAATACTGCATTTAAGGTGGTAGCTTTAAGAAAAAAAGACATGCACGTGCGGTAAACAGTAAACAAATAAACACCTCGCAGGCTGTATCTAACTTGAGCACCGAACACAGAAGCCACTCCTGTCCCGGTTCGGTCTCCCTTCCTGCGGCCGTTCTCGATGATGTGCTCGACCAGGTCCAGATATCCGCGTTCATCACACAGAAACCCGAATGTCTTCTTCTTCTCCTCCAGCGGCCTGTCCTCTGTCTTACAGGAGGACTCCTTCTGTGTGTGTCCGCTGTGGATTTCTGTAGTGGCGGGCATCTTGAAGAAACAGCAAGTTATGCAGAACCGTCACCCGGCGCTCACTGTGCTTTCGCGGTATTTTAGTATCAAATAATGCGGAAATCTCAAGAAGATATCTTGATCTCGCGAGATTTAAAAAGCGCGCCCTACTTGCCTCGCGAGATCGATGTACGTCTGATTGCCGCCATATTGGATGTGGCAGATCTGACGGACAACTGACTGAACTTCACAAAGCACCGTTCTACAAAGTGTTTTAAATTAATCCGTCATTCACACACACTAATATATTTTTGGGAAGAAAAAAAACAGACACCAAAGACAACATTTGTAACTTTTAACATGAAAATGATTACCAGTGCTCCTTAAATGTTTAGGTTAAAGGTAAGCACTAAGGTCTTTAATGACATCTTCAGATCCACAGATACTGGTGATTCTGTGCTGCTTGTCCTGTTGGACCTCACAGCTGCCTTTGACACCATAAACCATGAGATCCTCATTGCTAGGTTAGAGCAGTGGGTGGGCGTCACAGGGTCAGCCCTCAATTGGTTCAGATCTTACCTCTCTGACAGATCCTTTTGTGTCACCATCAATGATTTTAGTTCCGCAGAGGCAGAGCTTAAATGGGGGGTTCCGCAGGGGTCCATCCTGGGTCCCCTCCTATTCTCTTTATACCTGCTGCCGCTTGGTGCAATTTTCCGGAAACACAACATGCCTTTCCACTTCTATGCCGATGACTGTCAATCAATCAATCAACCTTTATTTATACAGGTAAATCCCATTGAGCCTCGAGGACTCATTTACAAGAGAGACCTGATTTCAACAAAGAAAGATGACAACAATGGACAACAGCAACAACAATAAGCAGTTATAAAAACTCATACTACAGTTTTTTTTTTTTGTTTGTTTTTTAACAAATAGGATGGCTAAAAGGAAAAAGGTAACAAAACCAAAAAAACTGCTAGATTCCGAGACAAATGTATAAAACTAAAAACAGGAACATGTCTGCATTGGTCCCTGCCAGGAGTCCAACAGATTCTTAAAGCCACTTAGAGAGGTCAAGGTCGAGAGCTTCAAATCTTTTTGTAAGATATTCCAGGAAACAGGAGCGGAGTAGGAGAAGGCCCTTTTGCCTAGTTCAGTCCTCACTGAGGGAACACTGCAGGTAATAATGTCCTGAGAGCGCACTCCGTAGCTGCACTCACGCAGAGACATGTAGGAGGAGATGTATGAAGGCAGCAGACCAAGAAGTGATTTAAAGATGAAAATGTACCAGTGAGAGAGTCTGCGTGAAGTTAATGATGTCCAGTTAACCAATGAATACAGGGTGCAGTGGTGGGTACGATAATCACAGCCAGTTATGAATCTTAGTGCACCATGATAGACAGCATCCAACATCTGCAGGGTTCTTGTAGGAGCGTTCATGTAAATGACAATAAACAACTGTGTCATCAGCATAGAAATGTATGGATGCATTAGGGATGTTTTTACCTACATTATGTATGTAGATTGTAAAGAGGGTGGGTCCTAAGACTGAGCCTTGTGGTACACCATTGTTGACTGTTAAATAACTGGAGGAAGTACCATTATGTTGAACACATTGCCTCCGGTCTGAAAGATAGTTAGAGAACCAACCAATGGTGTGATCTGAGAAACCGATTTCTGAGAGTTTATGACACAAGATGTTATGATCCACAGTGTCAAAAGCTTTAGACAGGTCTAAGAAAAGTGCAGCACAATAATCCTTAGCATCCAGTGCTTCAACAACGTCATTAAGAACCTTCAGTGAAGCAGTGGTTGTGCTGTGTTGTTTCCTGAAACCAGATTGATGTGGAGGTAAGATGTTAAATGAGTCCAGGTAATTTTTGATTTGAGAGTTTATCAGTTTTTCTAGAACCTTGGCTAAAATGCAGAGTTTAGAGATTGGTCGATAGTTGTTCAGTGAGGTGGGGTCTCCTCCCTTCAGCAAAGGAAGAACAAAGGCTGTTTTCCAAGTGTCTGGGATGGAGTTTTGTCTTATGGAGAGATTGAAGATGTGGGTCACAGGGACTGTGATGATATGAGCAGCCAGCCTTAAGAAATAAGGTGGAAGTTCATCTGGACCTGCAGATTTTTTAGGATCAAGATCTTTTAACAGTTTATTGACCTCACTGACTGAGAATGGAGAAAAAGAGAAGGTGTGATTAACTGAGGATTGACTTGTAGGAGGGATTTGATTTGTAGAAGTTTGGTTATTAAGTGAAGTGGATGATTTTCCATTAGTTACTATGTCAAATAAAGAACCAGAAGCAACAAAATGTTTGTTGAGACAGTTCAGGATCTCGCGCTTATTTGACACAGGAGCAGAGTTAACGAGAAGTTGTGATGGGAGGTCAGATGATTGGGGGGTGCCTGAGAGAGATTTAATTGTTTTCCAGAATCTGTTAGGGTCATTTAGATTTTTGGAAGTCTGAGATAAGAAATAGTTTCGTTTTGCTGCTTTGACAGCAGTTGTACATTTATTCCTCATCTGTCGAAAACTCAACCAATCAGTGTCTGAGTCAGATTTTCTCGCTGCAGCCCAAAGATGATCTCTCCTGTGCAGGAGGTCAGCTAGCTCTGGAGTAAACCAGGGGCTGTCTCGTCCCTTTATTCTGAACTGACGAAAAGGAGCATGTAAGTTCAGGAAATAAATGAAATTATTATGGAAATAGTTCCAAGCAGAGTTCACGTCATCAGTTAACAGAATACGATGCCAGTCAAAGTGAGACAGATCCCAGAGGAATGTGTGGAAAATTAATAATTGTTCTAAACTTTAAAAAACTCTTAATAAAAAGAAAACCAGAGACATCTCTCTTTTAGCTCAAAACGGAGCGCGAGGTTTATTCTTTCTGCAGAAAGGAGTTGCTGCCTGTGTGAAGTCAGAAGAAACACACAGAGCACACTGGATTCTTAAAGAGACAGTACATATATTTATACATGTTTCGTGTGTCACAATAACATTCTATCATAATGGGAGGATAAGTTCCTCAGGTTGATACCATACACAAGTTCTTGTTATCAGTATGAGATGATGTTATTCTTCTTGTTGAAGCCGTGTTCTGTAACAAGTCTTCTGTCCATGTGACTAGAACATTCTGATAAACATTGTGGATCTGGTATTTTTTAATTAGATTTGTAACAAGTCTTTGTTCATGTGGCTAGAATCTCTGAAAAAGAAAAACATATTGATACGAAAAGCGTTCTCAGCCGTTTAGATAAAAGTTCTGTATCTTTGCCTCTCTGCAGGTGGTGGAATACAAGGACGTTTGCAGGAGCAGAGGACAAAAGTTCACATTTACAAGAGTTTACCAGAGTTCACATACACACACCAACTTTGAAAGTCTGCAGAATGAACATGGATTAAATAATATTTAAACAATACATGTTAGTTTATTAATTTTTTTTTTACAATTTTCCCCCCTTTTGTTCCAAAAGGAACAACAAAATAAGAAAACAAAGTGAATAAAATATATATATATAAGTATAGACTTTGAAAGGGATAAACATCAAGTTCAGTGCATCACTTGTGGTTTGGCACAGGACCATCATAAACTTCAAATGGAAGTTGCAAGAGCTGTTTTTGTGGGTTACAGACCCTGTTTTTAAAAGCTTATATGCGTACAGGTAAGAAACTTCAATTTAATTCAAAACATGAAAATATACAAAGAACTCAAAGGAGGGCATACTGTTTTAGTCAAAAAGTATTAACATAAAATATAAAAAGAAGAAAACATAAAATTTTTATTTAAAAGCATAAAACCAAAATATGAAAGATTAAGAAATGTCTTTAGTTCTGGAAATGTTGTCCAGTGTACTCATGGTCTTCTGGTCTAAGCCTAAGAACACAACTTTGGACGACTTAGACTACTAAATCTAGGAATTCTAGTCTAGATGGAATGGGTGAAGTTTCAGTCATCAGGGAGTGTCCGCCTCTGTCAAAGTCAATTACAAAGATGTCATCGGTGCAGGATGTGTCAATCTCAAGAATGGATTGATGTTCTCTAACTGTAAAACGAATTTTCATTTTATCTTAAAACAAAAGTGGTGGAAATCCTAGGCGACAGTTCAGTGGATGGGCTGGGCTTTTTGATGTCAATGTCAGAGATGGATGTCGTAACTACTCCTATAAAGGTCTTGTTTACCATGTTCTTGATGCATGGGACAACACAGGAGAAAAATAAGCAAAACAAAACTAAAAAGACGATGAGAGGGGCGCAAATTCTCAACAGAAGCTGCCACCATGAACCAGAGGTAAGCCATACCCAGAAGTCAAAGGGCTGTGCGCCTTTGGTACCGCTTTCTACATAGTCTTTTAAGTGGGACAATTCTTCTAGTGCGTCATGGATGGCACCTCCATCGTGTGTTTCATCAGGGATAAATGTACAGCATACTTGACCAATTATCTTACAAACGCCCCCTTGTGAGGCCGTTAAAAGATCAAGGACAACTCTATTTTGGAGAACCATATTCCTAATTGCGTTTAATTCATTTTGAGTTCCTTTTCCTAGCATTTGTGTGGCATTAATCAGGCGGAGAAGTGCATATCTATTGATCTCTACATGGTTGCGGACTTCACCTAATCCAACCATAGGGAATACTTGTTGAAAGAATTTTTCACCACCGTTCCAAATTCTGTATTCCCATGGTACTCCCGTGCTAGTGGTAAGCCCTCCCCATCTAGTGACTTTGGGCATGGGTGAACGACGGGGTCTCTTATCGCGTGATTGTGGTGGTTGTCTTAATACAAACATTGGGTTTGTTAGCTGAACCAAAGCACATAATCCACCCCAATTTGGAGGGAGAGCGGTGTATGCCTTGTGGCCGCAAAGAAAATACCAGTCTGACAGGACCCTGGAGCCTTTATCTCCGGGAACTGAAACACTACAGCGAGTCACATTTTGTCTGCCTTTTGTGTGTTTGTGTATGTGAAAAGTTCTTTGTGTTAGTAGTCCCTCACAATTGGTTAAATTGTAACCATCACAAGACGTACCGCTTGCGCG